AATTAGGTTTTTTCATGAAAAGTACCAAAAGTTCACTGTCAAAAAAATTAGGGCAATTTGAAATAAATAATGACAGCGTAGGCAGCGCCCTCTATATGTTACATGAAAATTAATACAAAATTATGATTTTCCACGTCAAACAAACCCCGGGTACCGAATTTCGTGCAAATAACTTATTTTTTGCAAAAGTCATTTTCAAAAAGCGAACAAAAAAATTAAATTTCAATACCCAGTATCTCCGAAACGAAGCATTTTCGGGCACAACGTCATATAGACTTTTTTCTTAAAATTGTCTCAGGAATACGTCACTTGAATATTTTAACGTGCCTATGTTACACCCTGTATAACACAGAAAGTCTTCCTTTTTCTCCTAACAAAATGAAATGTCACTTTTAACATTGATATAAGGAATAAATACAGTAGAACTAACAAATTATTTCGACTAGCTGACTTTTTATATGAAAGATACTTGCCTGATGAAACCCAGGAACGTGGGTAACTTGCACTCCCATCTTTGAGATGCAGTATCCTAAATACATGTCGTCTGGACTGTTTTCAGATGGACAACGACAATTTTTGATAATTTCGAGTAGAAGCGGTTTGCTGAATACCATACCGGCTCCACCAGTGATATAATTGTATCCAAAAGGTTCACGCATCTCGTATCCGTATCTTTCCCCTATTGCCATTTTCTTGTTGTAGTCGTAACATGACAACACTTTTTGAAGAGCATTGATACTGTAGGAAGAAAAAATGGTTTTGAATTTTGGTAATCATTAAAAATAGATTGTTTTAAGGTGGTTGATAATGTTTCATGGTGAATTTCATTAGTTCGGACTTCCATTGTCCACTATGATATGATTTGAAATCTATGAAATAACAAATGAGAATTAAAAAAAGAATAGCTGAAAATAACAATTATATTAAGCCAAAAAATCCTGAAAAGAAATTCCAATATTACAATAAAATAAAAATTAGGCAAAAAATTGAAAATTGAACAATTGAAAAGTAATTAACAATCGAAAACTAAAAGATTGCAAGCCTAGTAACTTCAAAGTGCTTTCAAAAAATTGTTCTACAGCGCCATCTAGTGTCAAGTTACAGAAAAATTGATAGCCTAAAAATCTTCTCTATGAAAAATTACTTATACATGTCAAGTTTCATCACTATTGGTTGAGCGATGTAGAAGTTTATCACTTACCAACAAACCAACCAACCAACCAACCAACCAACAAACATCCATTTTTATATATTAGATTAATACATGTGGTAAAAAAACTATAGAGAATACAAAAATCTTACCCCAATATTGTATCATCATCTGCAATGACAATCCATTTTATATCTGTATCATTTTTCTCAATTATATTGGCGATATATTTCATAATGGCGATAGTTTTAAGACAATAACCGGATTTGGCACCTGAATCGCCCGCATCGATGGTGGGAATTGAGGAATCTGAGAAAAAATAGATTTATTTATAATTTTTTACGAATGCTGCAAATCAATCATACAACCTTCTTTGTCACTGAAAAATTTGATCAAAGGCACATGTTTGCCCCAAGTCTTTTGTACAATAGGAACTCGATCGTGATGAAATTGCTCACATGTTTTGACAGCAAAAAAAATATTGTTTCTTGGCACCATTTTATCCTGAAACAAAATAAATTCAAATGTGAAAAACAGTTGAACCATTACACATGGTGAGTACCTACTCAACACTTTTTTCAAAAAAGTTACTTTCTATGCAATTTTATGATTATACATGGTGTATAAATGATGTCATTGATTTCAGAGGGTGATTATTACTTGTCATATTTCATGAAAAAAGTTCATATGTAAGTGTGTTCTAACTTGCTTCGTTTCTGAGTAACGCACTGTCGAAGTTTCACTAAAAATGTTGGTCTTTTGTTATTAAGACTTTTCGGCGATTTTAATGAATGAATGTTTGCAGTAACAAGGGACTTCTTTTCATGAAATTAGATTCCAAATAATTCCAGTAGCGTCGCAGAGGGTTACCTGGTTGATATTTACGTCATTGTACATCACTGTCTTTCTTCAAGTTTGATATTTTTATCAGATTGAACAATTATAAAAAAAACGTGTTTGAAGGCAAGCTTTCACAAGCTGTAACTTATTCAAAATCTTCCCATGCAAGATTACCTATTTTGTATCCGCAGCAAGTCTCTTACTCACAGAATAACCTAGATCAGCAGTTCTCAAACTTTTTTTGTGGCGGAACCCTTTTGGAAAGCGAAATAATTGACGGAACCCTACAATTAAACAATAGTTTTTAAACGTGTATTCTTTATTAATGAGCATTATGAAAGTACAATGTAATAGTTACTTATCGCTTACTTACATAACAAGTATAATAATAGAATATTTCAAAAAGGGAAAAATCTGACTAATGGGAGGCATGAAACTGTTTTTTATTTTTCATCAATTGGTTGATATAGAACAGGGGTCGGCAAGTAGTTTTAGGTGGGGTCCGGTAACTGTGGGAAAATTTTTACGAGGTCCAGAAAAAACAACTGCCTACCTATGTATAATTTTGGTTTCAAATCAAATTCTGAATCATAAAACACAAGACCTAAAATTAATGTGAGAAATTACAATGACGGTCTTGAGCCAGTTTTTTATAGTTTGGTTCTCGAGAGAAATAGCAAATTCGAAGTGGTGGGCGTCCGTTAATCTCGAACGATATTTGTTTTCCAAAAAATGAATCTTTGAGAAAAATGTTTCACATACATATGTCAAGCCAAACATAGTTTCCAAATTTATAGCTAGTTTCTTGCAATTTTCATATTTTTCTGGAATATGTTTGGTCCAAAATTCTTCAGTGGATACCGTTTTATATATTTGCAAAGACACATCTCCTTGCAAATCAATTATCTCTATTTGAAGTGATGCCTTTGGCAGTCACATCTGTCCATTCTGCAGCTACATCAAGTTCAAATGACATTAAATGTCGGAATAAGAATAAATTCTTGTCTTGCAATATCTTTTTCAGAGATATCCAGCTTGCGACGAAAAGCAGACACGTTTTGTATCAGAACACATATTAATTTTCCATTTCCTTGTGATTCTGTGTTGAGCCCATTAGAATATTTCAAAATATTTTTTAAAAAAGCCACGACCAGCATATTACGCTTGTTTGTTCTTTCTGGCTCCCTCCGTATCTAAGTTTTGCTAGAAGGAGGTTACTTATTCTTTTATCAGCCAGAAACTTTCAATAACTTGACCTTAACTTAGCTAACGAACATTTTGTCGTATTGCAGTTAAGTCAGAATACGCTGTCAGAAAGAAAATCCTTGAAATGTCGGTATTGAAGAGCAGAATGAGTTCTCATAAAATTAATCAACTTGACCAAGCTGTCCATCACTTCTTTCAGTGTAGCATCAAGTTTTCCACAAAGGGCTGCCTGGTGAATTATGCACTGATATGATATTAGACCTGAGTTTTTATCTCTGATTCTCTTTACTATACCTTTTTCTTTGCCAATCATTGCTGGTACCCCGTCAGTTGAAAGCGACGATATAATTTTATTTCAACTGATGTNTTATTATTATTATTAAATTCAGCAACATCTTTTTTTCTTCTAAAAGTACCGTGACTACTTCTAACATAGATTTTTTCACTATCTCAGAATCTGAAAATGGTTTCTGCTGTTTATTAAGCGTCCAGCACACACATAGCACTGCTTCTGTGGATTTTCCTTGCTCGCTTATGCAACGAACTGGTAATTTTGTGCTTTTTTTGTGAGAACCGAGATTGAGGTTTTTCTTTATAAGCCTTACCTCCAAGAGGAAAGTTTTTGTGAAATTGTTTATGAGTTGTTTCGTAGTGTCTCTTCAAATTTCCACTCTTAACAATAGCGAAAGTTTTATTGCATATAAGGCACACTGGAACCGCTTGAGGCCTATTAGGCAGCGTAAAACAATATTGTTTCATATAATTCAACGGTATTAGCCAGGGGAGTAGTTGTATTCTAATAGGTGTCAGTCCATTAACCTACTGTGTAGGGAGTTGAGACTGGCCTGAACGAATTGTTCTTTTAGATGATTTGATTTATAGCCAGTCTTCAAGTATGCCCACTGACTATATGTGAAAAGTTTTCTTTCCTTATACGAGGAATTGGGCAAATTTTGGATATGCAGTTGGTTACCTCGTTCACAGGCAGATGGGACGACTACAAAAATGTTGTTTGTTGTATGCTTCAGCTTAGTTCAAGAATTGATACTTTGAAGGAATTTGATTTTCAATTATCGGAAATCATCGACTTTATGTTGATGATATACACTACCTTGCACTGACGAGTGGCCAAACAGCCCGAAACCGGTCTGCAGGTGTGTTCCAATAATTGAAAATCTATTGCGGCAGTTGTATTGCCAACAGCATATGCAGGAATAACTTCTGTGAAGAATCCTGCACTGACACCTGTCGGATATAATCCAACGCCCTTCGTGGTATTAGCCAGGGGAGTAGTTGTATTCTAATAGGTGTCAGTCCATTAACCTACTGTGTAGGGAGTTGAGACTGGCCTGAACGAATTGTTCTTTTAGATGATTTGATTTATAGCCAGTCTTCAAGTATGCCCACTGACTATATGTGAAAAGTTTTCTTTCCTTATACGAGGAATTGGGCAAATTTTGGATATGCAGTTGGTTACCTCGTTCACAGGCAGATGGGACGACTACAAAAATGTTGTTTGTTGTATGCTTCAGCTTAGTTCAAGAATTGATACTTTGAAGGAATTTGATTTTCAATTATCGGAAATCATCGACTTTATGTTGATGATATACACTACCTTACACTGACGAGTCGCCAAACAGCCCGAAACCGGTCTGCAGGTGTGTTCCAATAATTGAAAATCTATTGCGGCAGTTGTATTGCCAACAGCATATGCAGGAATAACTTCTGTGAAGAATCCTGCACTGACACCTGTTTGACACATTACAATATTTGGCGGTCCGATGTTCGACTTTTCGCGATCCACATACGGACCGCGGTCCGCCTGTTGCCGACCGTTGATAGAAGACAGTTGAAGTTTCATATCAGGTTCGTTGTCCAGTGTATTGCGGTACTTTGATTTCGTGGCTGCATTGTTTCGCACAAATATGTTGTTGGGAACGGGAGAAGAACATTCAGAGCCATATCGGCAAGCATTGGATATTCGTCATTTTGAACATTGACTCCATACTTGTATCTGATGACATTTCTATCTCGTTTGACATACTTTCGGGCTTCTGCAAGTTGGGTAAAAAATGATTATGAATCCAGGAATTCAGTTTCATTTTTGTATTCCGTTCTTCGAGAAAATACTTCTCAAAAAGATGCGCGCATAGAATTGAGATATTGGACCAATTCTTCGAATACACCATCTTGAAACATTTCTGAGTCGTTATCGCTAACAAACTCACTGAGTAACGTCAAACTTTCTATTTCTCTCTTACCAAATAAGTCGTAAATTCGACATCCGTCTCCTCTGTAGACTCGCTGCTGAACAAAATTTACAGGGAGGTCAGGTGGAGTCGTAAACTCGACATCTACTTCCTCTGTAGACTCGCTCCTGAAAAAGGTCAATCACGGCAGAGCCCCGCATTACCATTACAAGGCGATGCTACGACGAGAGGGTGCCCGATATCTCGAAGGTTCCGTAGAGACAGCTGATAAGCTTAGTTTCATTCATCCTCTCGGCACGGATACACACACCTTAGGATTGAGCCATCGTTGGGATGCCATTCAGTTAGGGAATAACAGAACCACACATGATTTTGTCATTTTTGTATCCAGCGGGGCTACGTGGAAACAGGCATCCGATGGCCGGTTTGCTCAACCCACACATCCCAAGGCAATGCACTCGCCACTGGTTCAGGCAGTGAAAGATGAACAAGAACAGCCAACCAACGGTACGTTTACTCAAATGACTTGCATCGTTTTATTTGGAGTAGCCGAACGCCGCCTTTCGACAAGGCAGCGGTAGCTTTGTCTAGACCGTGGCTTCTTTGTGTCGGCTCAAGAAAGTATACCAATCAAAAACTTTTATCGCGAGAAACTAGATTGACACATGTTGATAGATGGAACAAGAATCGTTTCCATTTGTAAACATTGGTGTTCGCTTAGCGCGTGTGTGAATGGGATGCCAAAGTACACTGGATCTCTTTTATGAAAAATCAAGAGGGTCGTAGATCGAGTATTTCCGTCAAAATATTTTACATAAAGATGGGTACAAGTAATTACACAATGGTATTTCTATACATCTTGATTAGTAACTTGAAGAACTATGATACACGTACCTACAGAATATGATGAATAGTTCAGTCATTATCATTTCAGCTAATAATTATTGGAAACTATAATATATACTCACACAGGCAAGTAAACGACTTGGAAAACTAGCGCAATAAGGAGAATAACTGGAACAAAGGCTGGGTTCATGCTTTACAAGCGCAGCTTTGCATCCATAGTTGAATATATATTTCGCTAATTCGTACGCAACATCTATGCTGAAGTTGGAGATGAAGATATCATTTTCCTTCAACTGTTTGACGATCCTGAAAAAACACAAATCAGTTAAATATTTAAATGATGATGTGGTAAACAATTTTGCGTTTACTATACTCATATTGGTAGAAACCAGAGCCTCGTTTATTTTTGACAGAGCCTTATACAGAAGGGGGTGAAGGAGGCAAATGTTCTCGCCCCCCAAGGAATAGATAAAAACCAGGAAAGGTATATTTTGAACGGATTTCTGAGTAACTTGAAAATTATCTACAAGAAGATAAGATTCATCATGATGTGGACCTAGAATCGAATGGTAGGTATCACGAATATTTTCATTTCGTATCATGTACTTGAATTGTTCATTTACATTTACTCCCCAAAGAACACATGTTGAATACGTCACTGATATTTGAATTTGGCTCCCGAAAATTTTAACACAAGAAATGTATCCAAATTGTCATAAGTACCTCTTACCATCCTTTATGTTTCATTTATATTTCATAATGAAAAATTATTGAACTACAAATATTCAATACTGCTTCCTCTATCAAATTTTATTAATATCTTATTAATATTACAGAAAAAAAAGTTACGACTTGATTCAAACTCATCCATTCATAACTTATATTATATAAAAGCGTGTCGCGAAATTTGCCAATTTTTTAAAAAATCGGATAATTTTTCTTGTCAGGATTTCTTCATTATTTAATTGCACAGGTAAATCACCTTGTAACGCATTTATAATTGGAAAGAAACCCAGTAAAAAGTAGATAAATTAGTAAAGTTCACTGTTCAGCCATATATTTTTTTTTGAAAAAAAGTACATAAATAATTTATTTCATCAATTCCATCACTACCTTGAAAAAGAGTTCAGATGAGTTTCCTGATAAACAGCTGTCGTCCTCTTACAAAAGGCAACCCTCAGAAGCTGAAATTTGTGCTAGATACGAATTAACAAGATTCATTCTTGCAACCTAAGGTTCCCAGCACGGTGAGCGAATCAGAAAGATTTTCATTGGTGCAACTCGCATCACACACTTGCTTAAAGTGGTTACACATCAAATCCGAAANATATCATTCCCATATTTGTTGATCCATACGAAATTAAAATGGTACACCAATTAACTGAAGATGACCCTGATTGAAGAACAGAATTCTGCGAAATCATGACGGAAACCATTGCAAGGCATCCTACCTATCTCCACAATATTTGTTTTAGTGACGAATGTACATTTTTTCAAACGGCAATATTCACAGACAAAATTGCCGTTATTGGAGTGACACCAACCCCTCACATTTTCGGGAAAACACATACACAATGTCCAGGAAAAAATAACGTATGGGCAAGAATATTGGGAAACCATATTGTAGGAGCTCTATTTATTGATCAAAATTCAACAGGGGAACTGTATTTGAATATGCTGGAAACTACTGTTTACCCTTTCATCACTGAAATCGTTGAAGACTATCCTAATGAATTCTATATGAATATTGTATTTCAACAAGATGGAACACCATCACATTACTCCAGACAAGTAAGAAACTATTTGGATACTACTTTTCCCGGTCGTTGAATTGGCCGTCGAGGTCCTATAGGATGGCCAGCCCGCTCGCCAGATTTGACACCTTGAGACTTTTTTTATTAGACTTTTTGAAGCAAAACTGAACCTGCTTCAATATTGGATATACGGCAGGAAATAATACATATTTGTAGAGATATTGAAGTTACTGTGTTCGAAAATGTTCGGCGTGAAATATCGGATAGGCTGTTCATATGTCAAGAAGTTCAAGGCAATCATTTCGATCATCTTCTGAACTGACATCAAGCTTATTACCTCATATTATATAGTTAAATGTCAATGTATTCAGGCAATTATTAAAAGTTCCACAATTTTGTAATAGGGTAAAATATTGACATTATATTCTAGGGTTGTGAAGCATGTGTCAGACGCTTAAAGGAGATGTGTCACAAGACCCTCCTTTTCATTTAATTTTGATTTTTTGAGTTTACCCGATCAAAAAATAAAAGGGAGGGGGACATTGAAGAAATGCACTGTATGTTCAACTGCTTACCATGTTTAATTTGTTGGTGAAACGCATACAAGTCAGAAGTGTTTCGCGTGTTCGGCGATTTTCAGATATCAAAAAAATGGATCTAAGAACTTGCATCAAATTTTGTGTGATTAATCGAATCAAGTGCTCATGAACATCTAAAATGTTGACAGTGGCGTGCGGTGATTGTACTCTAGGTCAGAAAAATGTTTACAAGTGGTACAAGCTTTTCACAGGAGGACGAGAAGATGTGAATGACAATGACGATAAAAATGTTGAGAAAGTGAAGAAAATTGTTATGGAGAATCGTCGAATCACTATTAGAGAAGTTAGGGAAGATGTCGGCATAGTTATAGTGGATCGGCATATGAGGTGGGATGACCACATAAACCATGTTGCAAAACGGCTCAGCATATACCAGTCTTTAGCAGAATCTGTAATTAGATACTGTATTGCTGCCTGGGGTGGTACATTCAACAATTCTCTCAATATCCTCCAAATATCCCAAAATACAATCTTGAAAATATTATTCAAAAAACCTAAACTATACTCTACCGTATGTTTGTATAAGGAAACGCAGTTACTGAAAACAAGAGAATCCTATATGAGGCGTGCGTTTCCATAACTAATTAGATTCATGTTTCACTAAAATTGAGAAAATGGCGACAACACATTCTTTGACAGCTTTGATGCATGCCTATATAATTGTAGTGGACCAAATCTGATCACTTCCAGTAACCTACTATGATATTGAAAAAATAGTACGTTTCCAAAACTAGCTACAATTTTTCATAAACACTGTTACAAAAGTGTGAGAATTCACTGCCGTAAGTGCTGTTTCCAAGGTGCGTAGATCCAATAGTATTATGTTATTCATTGCATGCTACGGTTTTAAAACTTGTTAGATCCTGTCGGTATGTGCACGGTTTATTTACTGTTTACGTACATATACGATTTTTGTCAGTAGTTGTTTGAACCTGTTTTTGCTTAAATGAGAGATTGTATTTTTGTTTTGAAAGTTGAGTTGAATAAACACTATTTTTGCATAACATAAGTGTTTTTCAACTTCTTAATCATTCAGATGCATTGTCAAAGCTGTATAAATCCACAATATGTTTCCAAAACTCGTTTAATTCTACTTTCGTTTTCAAATAACTCAGCAGAACATTCTCTAATATTTGAAAAGTAATTCGAAGAAATCGTCCAGTATCTTGGAAAAACAATTCATGGCTTTGCACCGAATCACTCGTCATTGCTTGTTCGTAATTTTTTGGACATAAACAACACCGTAATCATGCCTTAGCCACCATATTCACCAAATTTGTTACCATGCGATTTTTGACTGTTCCAAAGATTGAAAAGACCCATGAAAGGACGACGTTTTGCGACGATTGCGGAGATACAAACCGAATTGCTGAGGCAGCTCAAGTGCATATCAAAAAGTGCATATCAGAAATGCTTTGAGGAGATTGAAAAAAACGCTAGCACGAGTGTATTATATCTGAGGGAGACTGAATAAACACACACACAGCGTATATCCTACTTTCATTCTCGAACCTATCATGACATGATATCAAAGTATGGCAACAATGAAATTATAAAAAGAACGCTACGTACAAAACCAATTATAGTGACCTAAAATGAAAATGGATTGAAGAATGGATTACACAATAATGATAATAATAACTCCATAAAAGTGCTGAACTTGAACATTCTGTTTTAATGTACTTTTTTAAAACTCATATTTTGGGAGTCGATCCCGATGGATGGAAACCCAAAGAGAATTAATCAACAGCAAATTTTAATGCAACGTAAATCACCATTTTCGTACAGTCAAAAAAATTCAGAACAGCCTCCTTATCTCATTCAAAAAAGCAAAAACAGAATTTCCAAACATGACCAATATAATCTCATTTATTTCATACATACCTCACAATGGTTGTACTTATCCAATATCTCTATTACTTTATGGACTCGCAACGACGTATAATCCTGAAGAAAAAATATCCATGATGCATTGTGTTTGTGCACCTTCAAGATATCTGATACTATTGGTATGATGGCCCAACCGGCGAAATGTGGAAAATCTTGTTGAGCTATGTGGACAACGGGACGTTCCTGAAATCGAGATGAAAATTTTATTACACTCACAACCCATCAAATGAAGAAAAACTGTCGCTCAATGAAATTTCATCTCTAATGAAAATGTTGGTTGTTTCAGCAGTTTAATATTATGTGTTTATATAGCTCCAATAGCAATAGCAATAGCTCTCAATAAATCTTTAATTTCGATGGAAATTTTGTACTTTTTTCACAGATATTTTTAATTTTTATGCTTTTTTTTAGCTTATTACTATATGATGTCGAACAATTTTTGGAAACTTTTTCTTTCTGTACGAATTCAAATTGAACCAAAGCGCTGTCAAAACTGCCCGAAAAATCAACCAAGCATTTGGCAATAATAGTGTCAAATATGGAAAATAAACATGAAATAACTCAAATTCATTAGAGCGAATACATGAATTGAAAGATGTTCTAACCTCAACTTCAATATTCTAAAACAAAAACACTCAGTATTCAGAAATCCATCTTTTAATATTCCAAGTTCATAGACATCAAAAGTGATACGATCGCAGGATATAGAAATATAAAACAATCTCCAAATACGCAAACTTTGCACAGATTGCATACTGAGCATTTTTCCTTAATACAGTGACCGGATCGAAGTTGCAATGTCAGCGTATAAAACTTCATAAATATTGAGGAAGGTCAAGATCAAGAAGAGAGAGTATTGAGAAATTTATCCAATATCTATTGATCTTCAGAAAAGGTTCCAGCAATGCAGCACATCTTCTTTTCTTCGATCCTGCTGGGTAGCAGTATAATGTAAATTTTTGGTGATTTATTATATTTTTGATTAACATTTTAGTGTAGGTTTATTCCTGAAGTATTTTCCCCGTTTCGTTACGATATATATTCAATTAAGTTTTCAAAGGAGTTCTTTCATTATTTGGATCAATGATGAACCAGTGAAACAGCGAATACAATCCTCTCGTTAATGAGCCAAGCGAGTACTGAGGTGCGACACGTGGTGGAGGCGCCGGACCTTTGTATTGTAATACTCAAAAACAATCCAGAGTCACCGTCATACCGTTGAGTACTAGCATAATCCAAATCCCAAGCAGCCTACAGAAAATATTTTGCAAACCGTTTATGGAAACATCGCTAGTTTCATAAATGCTGACACAACAGAACCACAAATGATGACGTTTGAAGTTTCCCAAAAGCACTCGAAAGAGGGAATTTCGATAATCCAGGGCCGCTAATAACTCGATCACACTATTACACGATTCAAAGTGATAAATCAAAATTACTTCAGTGAAGCTGCTGGAAAATAATTCCATGAAAATCAAAAAAATAAATAGATAGTACTTTTTGATCATTCNGTTTAGGTTCCCAAAGGATGAAATGATGAGAAAAAATAATGGGATAAAGTATTGAAAAGAAAGGACTACAATCCTCCTACTCTTCCAAGACTCTAGAGAACTCATTTAAAAAGTGACTATAAATGAAAGGGGAACGAAAATATTTAATTTGATGACAGAGTTTTTTATTTCAACTTCAAGTATTCTCCACAGAAAGTATTATCTGGAGTTTATTCAGTTACTGAAAGTATGAAACAAAATTATTTGAATTTTATCATATGAATAATGGTATTATTACCTCAGAAGTTTTTGTTGGATCAGTTCGAGTACAATCAATTCTGTCTAAACTTGACCTCATTCAACCTTCCTCTCAAGTTTTGAAAGATTCTATGGATTACCCAAGCGAGCCTATAACGCTTGAATTTAGTAGCTATATCAGAAAGAGGTTTGTATGTAGGAATCGTTAGTTTTTATAATAAATTGCAGTTGTACGGATTGAGGATTGTAGAATGAATTGAGTATTTGAAATGATTCTTCAATCCAGTTTGCTATATTTTTTGATTTTCATAACTTTATATTATTAGACAATGCATAAAATCATAGTTTAGGTAAATAATTTGTGATCTATCAACTTTGTATACTGATTTTAGATAGAGAACTTATTTGCAAACATAAATTTTGCGTGTACATTTTATTTCATGTGGAGAATTTTTCATTAATTGAAACGTTAACGGGTTCATATACACTTCCATAATTGAACTGATAATTAAAGGCTTCGTAAATTTTACGATTTGGCAATGTTGATTATTTCTATTGTTCCTATTGGTCAATGAAACAAGAAGCGGGAATAGGGGCGTGACGTCACCACACTACCACATTCGATTTATAATAATTATTAACGGGAAAACTACGGTACTTAGAGAGCCGAAACAGCGTACTTTGTTTTTCAATTTGAAATTTCTATCAAGTGAATTATAAACCAAAAATCATGAAACAAGCCCATTATAGTCCAGTCCAATTCAGTCCACTGCTACGTTGCCAATGTTTCCATCCAGTTGAGTTGTGGTAGCTGAGCAGCCGTCAACCAAAACAAGATCAGAACCAAGACACGAAACGCTGTGCGGACTATGACAATATTAGTGTGGGAACTCATAGTTGCAAAATCAATTGGACAATATAGTACTTCATCGAATCCCGAGCATACAATTTTTATGCTGACGGAATTATTCGACTTGTTGTATGTTGCACAAGTGCACTTCGAATAAATTGGAGGAGTATTCACTGATATATTAATTACAATTAAATACAGTTTGAAGTAGACTCACAAAAACGGACAAAACTTTGGAAATGACCTAAATAAAGTTCTGGTTCAAGTAATTTCGTTCTGTGCTCAAATGTCGGGCTTATTAATATCACGCATCGAAACGCCTTCGAATTTATTTATAATCCAGAACAAACCTATTACTCGTACATGGGTTTCTCTACGGAAGGATTCAGATCATAATTGTTAGATCTCTCTGAAGATTAGGTGGAATGTCCGAAAATCTCTTACATAATTGCTAACAACTCAATATTCTGCCTAGTAATTTGGGAAGTCATTCTGACAATTGGACAACATTTTAGTAAATTTTCTACTTACGTTGAATACAATTCCAGACTGGAAAATTATATCGTTCTTCAAATGTTCAGCTAACTTCATATTAAAATCATTTTCTTGACTAGAAATCACGAACACAACATGCCTTACATCTGGAACAAAAAAAAAATTATTATTTTAGGTTTGCATGAAAGTTTTTCGATTGATGACCTATTTATTTTGTAGAAATTCATCAAATATAGGATGAAAAAAACTTTCGTCTAATTTATACTGAGATTGTTATTTGTTACTTTCGGTTTTGGTTTATTGAATCAGTCTCAAGTAAACTGCCTGAATAATGCCTTATCACAAAAATACATTTCATTCTAGTTCAGATATGTGGATGATATCCTCGTGGGTTCGAAGAGACAGATAAATCAGTTCCTGAATTTCCTCTCCACGATAAGATAAAATTCACGACAGAAATTGAACAAAACAATAGCATTAACTTTCTGGATCTCCACTATTACAAAAATTAATAATACTTTCAGTTCAACATATACAATGTGTAAAAGCCAAATGGATAACACAACAGGAAGTAGCTCGCCTATTTCATAAGAAATTTCCAAAAATACCGCCCATATCTCAAGGAACAATAAGCAAAATAGAGAAGCAGTTTCGCAAGCTTGGTCATGTGGGGAAGATAAAAAAAGCAGCTGCCAATGCAATGAGTGATGAACTCAAATTAGATGCGAAGCTTGAGTTTGAGTAAAATCCACATACATCAAGTAGACAGGCATCCACTACATTCAATGTTAGCCATACATCGATAGTAAACATATTGAAAGAAAATAAAATGCATTCCTATGAAATGATACCTACTCAGGAGCTCATGGAAGACGATTTTGACAGAAGAACATATGTGAGCGAATGATAGACATGTTAGATAACAATATCATACAATTGGAAGACGTTATGTTTTCTGATGAGTGTACTTTGTCTCTTAACCGTCATGTTAATCGACAAAATTGCCACTAATGGTTAACGGAAAATCCTCACTGGATGAGAGAAGAACACAAGCAATACCCTCAAAAGGTTCATGTTTGGGCAGGGATTATAAGAAACCATATCATTGGTCCCTTTTTCATTGAGGCAACTTGAGTTGCGATAATTATTTGGCACAACTTCAAAATGATGTCATTCCCAGTGTAGCAAATTTTTATCCTGATCCAGGAAACCCTCAAGTTTCAGTGAATACGATATAGTTTCAGTAGGAAGGAGCACCACAACATTACCAAGTTAATGTCTGGCAATACCGCGATACAATATTTCCCAATCGGTGGATAGGGAGGCGAGGATCGACTAAATTGCCAGCGCGATCATCTGATTTTTCATCAGATTTCTATTTATGGGGATATGTAATGAGCAATGTGTACAAATCTAAACCTTCAGATTTGAATGACTTGAAAGAACTAATACCGCTTGCGATTATGTCGGTCACGCCTGATATGTTAAATAATGTTAGAAGACAGTTTCATTTGGAATTAGGATGTTGCCAAAACGTTCGCGGTGAACATTTTGAACATCCACTTCGTTAACATCCATAGTTTTATCGAATTTCGGTAACCACATGATTTTAATTTATCTTATCTTCATTGTTGCAATAAAGTTGAAAGCGATAACATTTTTGAATAGAGAATGAAGAGACCTTTCAAACGATATATCACGGACTGTACAATTTCCATGGATTCTTTCAGTCCATTATCACATAAGTTATCTGCATTCAGATCAATGATACATAGAGCATTCATGATTTCGTCATCAGAGAAGGTATTTCAAGAAAAAATGAAGATCATGAAGCAGATAGCATCTAATAATCATATTCCAGTCGACTCAATTGAGAAAATCATCTCCAATAAAAATATAAAATTGATTAGGAACGAATTGAATCTAAATCATGAGGGACCAGAAGAAGCTAAGAAATATGTTAGCATGAGCTATTTGGGAAAGCTCTCTGAAAACACAAAAAAAACGTTTTTTTCAAAATTTAACATAATTACATAATTTACTAGTGAGAACAATGCAGAGAACATGTTATTCAAAGCAAAACCCAAAAGGGATAAGTGGCATATGGAGGTGGTGACTTCTGTTCAGCAGGTTATATAGGCTAGACAGGCAGAATATTGAAGGTAAGGTACAGTGAGAATGTGTTATCAGATGAAAAACCTCACTTAAAGAAGGATATTTTCCAAATTTTCTCAGAACCTCTATCGTGATTCCTCTTCATAAAGGTGCTGATATTGGTATCTCTTCTAACTTCCGACATATCTCCTTAATAACAACTCTTGCAAAAATTATAGAAGAACTAGTTAAGAGAAGACTAGTGTTTTTTAACCAGATATTAAAAAAATGTCAGTTTGGATTCCAAAGTAGAAAAAACACACATGATGCCATATTTTCATTACTGTACAGTCTATATAACAAATTAAATGATGGAGAGACTGCAGCTGCTGTGTTCTGTGACGTATCTAAGGCGTTTGACTGTGTTAGTCATGGTATACTGCTTCGGAAATTAGAACAGTATGGATTAAGAGGTGTAAGTCCCAATTGGTTTGAATCCTATTTATCTGAGCGTAGTCAAATTGTTAAAACGACCAATTATTCTGAGAAAGTAAAAATGAACTGTGGAGTTCCACGAGGCTCAGTCCTAGGTCCACTATTATTTCTTTTGTATATGAATGATCTGACATCTATTGATATCAAAGGAGAATTCACAATA